AGAACTGCCCGACAGTGGGCACCACTCCTCCAACGAAAGCAGAGATCCTAAATGCGACCAAGCCACTGAAGTCCAGTCAGGAAAGCAGCAGGACCAAACGGAATTCCCCCCGAAGCACTGAAGACAGCCCCAGAGATTGCGGCAGGTGTTCTCATTCCATTACTGCAAAAAGTTTGGAAAGAATGAAAGGCGCCTACTGATTGGAAGAAGGGATACTTCGTCAAACTGCCAGAGAAGGGCGAATTATGCCTGTGCAAGAACTGACTGGCGTGGAATAATGCTCTTGTCCACGCCAAGTAAAATACGAAGTCGCATCATGTTGGCGGGAATAAAAGATGCACCGGATACAGAACTCCGCCAGCTGGAACAAGCTGGATTCGGGAAAGGCAAGTCATGTGCTGATCAAACTCGTGGTCATCACAGAACAGAGAACAGAATGGCAGTGAAACCTCTACCTCAACTTCATCGACTACGAAAACGCCTTTGACAGGCTGCCTTCACGGCGAAGCAATTTGCAAGCTACTTCAACACTACGGCGTACCTCAAGTCTTTGTCAACCTCATTCAACAGTTGGCTATATGACAATGCCACGTGTCAGGCGATCCACAACGGAAAACTCAGCGAGGCGTTTGAAGTGCATACAGGAGTAAGACAAGGCTGCCCATCATCACTGATGATACTCCTAATTGTGGTGGACTAGAAAATGCATCACACTGTGAGGAGCGAGGGGTCAGGAATACGCTGGACGACCGATAAGAAGACTCTAGAATATCTAGATTTCGCAGATGATTTTTGTCTAATGTCACACAGTCTCGGAAACTTACAGGCGAAAACCAACAAACTGGCTGAAGAGGCAGCGAAAACAGGACTCCAGGTGAACATAGAGAAGACGGAGATGATGAAGATAACCAACGAACCTCAACAACAACAACCAGAACCAATCACTGTCAACGGGAGAGGTTTGACAGAAGTTACTTCCTTCACTTATCTAGGAAGCATAATTCCAATTACAGGCGGAAAGGATGCAGATGTCGAAGCCAGTCAGAATCGGAAAGGCAAGATACGCCTTCATCACCCTGAAAGCAGTTTGGAAATCTTGCACACACAGCATACGGAAAACGATTCGCATTTTCAACACAAATGTTAAGTCAGTCCTTCTATGCGGGTCAGAAACTTGTGCTGTGCGCCGGCCACGAAAAGGATTTCCAACAAGCTACATGTTGTTGTCAACAGCTGCTTTCGCTGGCTGACTGGCTCGATATTGAAGAGCAAATTGCCGGCCAGAGAGAATTTGTGACAATAAACTCTGGGGAAAAACCAACCAAGAGGTGATCGCTCAACAAGTATGTAGGAGAAAGTGGAGATGGATCGGGCATACATTGAGGAGACCGTCGAATGACATAGGGCGCAATGCAGACCATCGTTCGAGTGGAATCTGAATAGGAAGTGACGAGTAGGTCGTCAGTGTAAGGGTAACATGGAGGAGATCATGGGAGGAAGAGATGAGAGAGTTTGGGCAATCGTAGACCCAGCTCAAGAGGATGGTAGTAAATATAAAATTGTGGAGTTTCGTTGCTGAAGCCCTATGTTGCAGTAGGAACTCCAGGGAATAATTATAATTAATAATACGCTGAATGAGCTTACACTTGTCTGGAGCATTTGAGAGACTGGTTTGCGTTCAGTTGTATGGTTGAACATTCGGTATCTTTCTGTTGGTAACTCAATACCAATTTTCGTCAATTGAGTTAAGTATGAAGGCTGCAGCCTTATGTGCCCGATATTTCTCTTTCAATTGGTTTTTATATTCAACTGGCCATGGAATTTCACCGGAAGTTAGCAGTACGTAGAACATTAATTACAAACATGCCTAAACATCCTATTATTTCAACCGACTGCTTATTCTTAGTATGGGCAGTGAAGTATTCTTCTGCTTGTGGTTCGGGGTTCACCGGTCAGAGCCAATTAATATCCTGTCTTGACACTCCGGTTCTGCGTAGCCTTCTCGTGCAAGTTCGTCAAGTGTTTCCTTTTTAGACTTACCCATGTTTTTCCTGAAATCTCAGCACTAGGTTTTCGTTTTCATGTGGTGAGTTGAACTTCTAGGCTCAGCATGAGTTCACCAATCACTGTTCCAGTGTAGAAGCAAAAGGATGTCATTCTACAGTGGGAAAAATAACCATGGCGCTGACATTCAGAACAAACAGTTGACAGAACAGTTACTTCCTAATATCAAGACACTAATGTTAAAATGTAGTAAATTTGGTGTTTCAAAGTAGATGAGCATCAGTTTATCACTCATGGTTTCGGTCTTGGCATATCTAACCACTATTTGCGTAAAATCGTAGACTAGTTAGACCTATAAAGCAGAGCTCTGTAGGAGGGTCACATTATGTTTTAGTTAATGAGAAAGCTGCAGATATAGGACCGAGAAGGTGAGATGTTGACAGCGAAACTAGTTTGCATGCATTAAATTTTGTGTGGCACATGAAGTATACGATAAGAAGCAACATACAAAGTGTTGTATAGGACTCCAGTAGGAAAGATGGCATATAAAGTAGGTTAGCGGATGATATTATACGAATTCATTCTAATGTGCTGGGTAGACTACCCTAGCTGGTTCCTTATAGATGTAATGCGTATGTCGCGCATCTTTATATTTTGGAGATTCGAAGTAGTGATTCGTTAGCTAACGTCAGAGTTCTAGCTGAGCTCCTAAATAGTCAAGCAAAAACAAATGCATTTACTAGGTAACTTGGGGATTAGTTCCAGAAGAAAGGCTAATCGAGGAATCCTTAAGGAAGGCCTTTCTGTGTGGGTGGGATGCTTGCATAGGCCCTCATCACCACACAAGGTTATGGTCACTTCGATTTAATTAGTGATTAATAAGCTGAGAAAGACGAGACGATTAACCATGTAGTAGCTGTATTTTCTTAATAATATGTGAGTTTTTCTTCTTCTGTTGATTGATACTGAATAATGAATAAACTCCCATGTGTTTGACTGGGTTTCTTCGCTTCACTTGTGCACCATTATGCTTTCCAAATGGACATTCAGAGTACACCAGTGCCTTAGGTATGTTATCGGTCGGTAATTCAGGCAGTTGTTCGGATAGTTCCGGTTACTAAATGCGGAATACGCACGTGTTCAACCCAAACTGCTGCATTTGGTACTCCTTATCGATCAGTATTTGGCTATTAAAGATCCACTGGTTGAAGTGGGAGACCGATTGTTTCAACCATTAGATGTAATATCCAAAATACGTATGCTCGGCATGATATTCTGTACGGCCCTGTCAGATGTTTCTCTTAGCTCCATTAACATGAGTTACGGAAAGGTGTCTGAGTTCCTTGCACTGCCTGGGGCAAATTCTGCGGTCCCACTTATCAGGGGAAAATGAAGTCGGTTTTGGGATCAATCAGTGGCCGTCTCATCTGACAAGGCACTTAGGTCAGCCTGAGATCTAAAGGGTAGACATCTTGCACCTTTTATCGGTCAGTAAGTGCAGGTCTCTTGATGCGGTTGAATCTAAATAGATTGTTCTGATTTGGTGATGGATATTCAGTGATCTTGGAAACATTTCCAGTAATGTATTCATAGAAGTTCACAATGACTCAGTTAAATCTAATTTCTTGTGAGTGAGTACGCCGCTGCGCGAACTGAGCTGTTATAGAGGACAACCGTGCAGATGGTTGGTGTGCTCAGGAGGCGAAAACTGGAAAAATCTCTGCTAAATGCCCAGTAATCATTTGCAGCCATCGCATGATAGGTTGTTTCGATTAAGTATAACAAAATACCACGATTATATAAATAAAAATGCTAGAGCAAATGCTAAGGTGGCAGCGAATTATTGTCGAAAACTGAAAAATAATGAAACCAAAGGCAAAATCTTGCGAATAGTCTTCTATCTTTGTGAGGTATTGGCTGTGTTATTGATGTGTTACATTGTAGTCAGAGCTGGCCGCAAAAACGCCCAAATTGTTGACAGCAATTTATGCCAATGCCACGTCCCAAATCGGGGTCATGAGAAAAAGCAATAACAAAGCTTAACCTTGGAGAACTCACTAACCAGTCACAGCAGAATGAACGTGTGAAAACACGGCTTAACTTTCTGAAAAACTGATATAGGTATAAAACTTGGGCTTTCTGAGAAACTGTCACAAGTAGTACAAAATAACCTTCAGCAAGAAAACAAACAGTCAGAAAACGTTGCTTCTCTGCTGGCAATAATGTACATGGAAATCTACATATACCTCTTGATTTTCCCAACAGACAATCTGTTGCCTGGCCCTTGTCTTCTGTCGTTGCAAGCTTACCAGCCTTACTAAACGGAATGTGCTTGATTATCCATTTAACCAGCTCTGATAACAAAGCCAAAGTCAAAATGGCCCAGTAATTTAGCGATGTATTCTGGTGAAGTGAGACGAATTGTTTAAGGTTATGCAGAGCAAAGATTTTAGGATATAACTGGCTAAAATGGCTGAACTATGAACTCCGAAGATGTGCCTGTAACCAGCACAAAGAAAGAGTGTAAGGTGGTATAGTAGGCGCATAAGCCAACCTCTTTTTTTCGACTCCTCTGTCACGGAATGTAAAGTCTAGTGAGACTCTTTCATCCTAGCGGCTTTTTCTACTCTAGAATGCCTGTAGTCAGCGGAAACTCTGGCGTTTGTCCCGGAACGCAAATGAGCCACAATGGACATCACTACAAACTTCCCTATTCACTACGTCTTCCACTCCTATTTTATGGTTCTTCTTAGCGTAGAGGTCCTGACTTTTTCACATAGGTTGCTGCTTTGTTAGGAAAGTAACATTTAGAGTCAAAAAATAAATAGGCAGGCCTGAACCACTTCACAGTCTAAAAAATGCTACACTTGTAGGGGACTTAATAGCGAGGTCGGCAAATACAAAGTATCAGAGTAAAAAGTCAAGTTAATGAAAGATCACGGGGGAAAAATTTACAGCTTCTTCAGGACTTTTAATAATTGTCGACTGATTTTACCTCTCAAGATAAATGAAATTTTATGCTTGTTCAATTTTTGTTTTAGTTGTCCTTACTCTCCTTCAGTGAAGTTGTGCCCACGTCCCGTCCTTGGGACGGTACTAAAATAGCCTTGAACTTCTCGAAGTATCTTTATGTGAGTGTCGTGTTGGTGTGGTTGGTGTTTTACTTCACATTTTTGTGGCGAAGCAGTCTATCAGTTTTAACTGATACTGAGCCACTATTCCTTTATGTTATGGTTTGCCTGGAGTTATTTCCGCGTCTACCAGCTGACTCATTTCTCGTGTTAGGACACTGCTCTGTTCTCACGTGGAACGCGGGTTTTGTGCCCAGCAATGTAATGAAACTTTGGAGGCTTATCGTAAGATCGACTGAAAGACTGGGGGGGGGGTTCAGATACTGTCTTAGTAGCGTTCACTTAGGGCTAACGTATTTTGTGGAGCTATCTTGGTTCTTCTCTTCCTTCTCGAATCGCATAGTTAGGCTAATTACCAGATGATAATTTGTTTTATAAGTTTTGGTTTTTGGCCATAACAAGTACTCTGGTGTTATTTTAAGCATTTCACTTCTACCTAACCAAAACATTAAGTATTGGAGTATTGAGTGCTTTTTTACGCAATTCATTAAGATGTAGGTTCACAGTTATTGTCAACTTTTTCAAGGAGCATTGTATTGATTTCAGCAGTGAAAATTTAGATGGTCGGTGGCAATCGGCAGGAAGTCTTGGATCTAGGTTTTGTACCTGTTGGTACTAGTCAACAATGTGTATGTTGTCTTGATGGAATTCATGTCGCTCCTGATAGACTAGTAGAATTCAGTTTGCACGCTTAACATCGGTGGCTGTCTAGTAAACAATTATTCTCCTTTACATTCCTGCAGGAGGTCTCTCTCAAGCCTGAATACCTCAGTAGTAACGTCTCTGGTTGTAAAACTGCTTCACCGAGGTTCAAATCTCAGAAGGAACGTGAGTTCGTTCAAGATTGCAGATACACCAACAAGCACAAAATCCAGATCCCAGCCTTCCTGCCGATTGCATCCAGTTATCTAACAGCAATCTAGAATTCATCGTGGTGACAAGCCACCTCGTATGCTGGCCACATTACAAACTTGACTGGTAGAATTCAGTATGTACCAAACGAAGGTCTAGACATATATATGCAACTGAAATGTAATATGCACGTTACCAACATCAGTAGGATTCGTAACTAAAAATAATTACTCAATAAGGTAGTGTATGCTTCTGCAACTGTAGGAGAGCTTAGTATTTGTACACTTTCTAGTGTTTTAGCTGTAAATGACTTAACTATTTAGATTCTGGAAATGTATGGCAGGTTCTAAGACTGTCTTACAAATACATAAATTGTATAGTTTTTTGTACCTAGTAATTTAAACTCGACCAGCAACTATCGTTGGTAAAGATTAGAATTTACTCGTGGGTGAATATAATTAGACAGTGTAGTTTATCATGTAGGTTGGTGCTTTTAGTGAAACGCCAGCATGAATTTTGTAGTAACACCATTTTTCCGCTTTTGTGCAGAAAAATAAACAAAAACTCAGTAAATGTCTGCAAAAACCTCGAGATCAATACGCTTCTTTTGTGTCCTTGGTATATTAATATGCATATATGCATTGTATGTCGAGTATTCCAAGGAGGCGGATAAAGAATATCGTGCTCTTTGTGATATATCAGAACGTATGAGCTGTTCCAAGGTGCTAACATCAAAGTAAGACACTGTGTAGACTATATTCCTTCTATTTTATTTTGGTATGGACGAGGACTTGGATTGCCAATGGGAACTTCTAGTGGGAATGTCATCTTAACACAAAGAAATCCAGTGTATGGTGTGATTTACTACTGTCTTATGATGTTACTAAGTAATTCATTACATAATAATGAAAATCTTATGCGCACCATTTCATTTTTATAGGTTCTTTCAAGTCGAAAACCATTATTCGTATACTCTTCCTACTGTCATGTCTGTCTGTTATGGGTTCAGTATATTTATGTTATATTTTATTTTTCGTCCTTAAAGACGTTTGTCTTGTTTGTCTGGCCACATATACTGTGAATATTTTCATCTGTATCTTGTCATTTAAATTGTGTAAAAGTGACACTTATGTAAAGAAAATATTGTGAAGCAACTTTTTCGTTTTTTTATTTCCCCTGACTTGTAATTTGCATGATATTACATATATACATATATTTCCGTTTCTCCTTTCGATTCTGTTTCATATTTTTGTAGAGAATAGAAAAATGCTTTGGCATTTGGTTTCAGCTTTCCTATTTGGCGAGGGATTCATTGTTCTCATGATGATCTTACCACTTTTTTCATCACGAACGTAAGACTTAAATAAAAAAATACACAAGTTTCTTTGTTTATTCCTGAAAAAAAAATAGATGGAGCAGATTTTTTAAATTTGGTATCATACAGAAAATTGCTGTGAATTCCTCGTTCTACTTCAATTTATTTCTTGTCATGTTGGCCTGTGCATTAGCCGGTAAGTGAAAAAAACGTGTACTCTTAACACCTTTTCCTTATAGAGTGATATCTGTTGTTTTGTATTGCTATGCAATTTGTTTTGAATTTAAGTACTGATTGTCATTCTTTAGTAGTTTCAAAGTAAACTGCATCATGAATCGACGTCACCCATGGAACTGTTGATAACTAAAAGAGTACATGCAGGTGTTTTCTACCATTTCGGGACTCATCATCAGTTCGCACAAAAATATGAAGTGGACTATATCTGATAGAGAGTGAAAACTGCTCAAACGCCAACTGACCATAAGTCTTTGCTATGGCGAAAGATATGGAAAAGACATCAGCTATAGGTAACACCAGATAACTATTTACACTTATCAAGGAAACAGGCGGCAAAAGAAAATGATAAGTGAGACAATCCCCGAGAAAAGTTCTTCCCTTATTTAAGCTGCCAGGATACACGGCTGGAATGTTGGAAGGGGACATTTTGAAGTGCAGTATAAGTGGCCTACAACCACGCTCAACTTGCCCAGCACTCAACACTTGAATAAAATGTAGAGAATTGTCCACCATCTCTAACTGAGGCTACAAAGACTCTAATTTGAAACGAGGTAAAGCGACAGGAGTTAGTGGAATGACTCCAGAAGTGCTTAGGGACAGTAGTGACAAGTTGCTATCTGAGTTAACTAAGGTATCAGGTAATGTCTGTGAATCAGAGATAGTTCCTTTAGACTGGTGTAAGTCATCAATTACCTCAGTATACAAGAAAGCAGACAGGTCTTTCTGTGATAGTCGTAAAGGGATTAGCTTGACTGATATGGTATCTAAAGTTCTACACTCAATCATGTGTAGATTAAGTGGTGCTAAGGAGAATCAAGCTTGAGAAAACCAGACGAGCATTAAATCAGGAAGAGGGTGTATTCCATTATGGATAAGATTTTATTTTGATAAATCACACAGTGGTTTTATACAGTAATATTAACTGATGACGTTTCGAGCACAAATTATTGCTCATAATCATATCAAGTTACTCACACAACATAGTAGGGAAGGAAAAAAGTTGTGTGAGTAACTTGATATGATTATGAGCAATAATTTGTGCTCGAAACGTCATCAGTTAATATTACTGTGTGATCTATCAAAATAAAATCTTATCCATAATGGAGTTACACTCTACCACAGTGCCGAAGTTTTATACTTATATCAAGAGGGTGTATTGATCTTATATGATTTGGTAGTAAAAGAGACCAGATGAAACGTTTTTGAACAACAACAACACAAAAAGTTGAGATATCTCCTTCGGAAAATCGCTAAGGCTTCGGCTGCATGGAGAAAATGTAAGCGAAATCCTTTCAAACCACTTGGTCATACTTTATATATAACAACTGAAGGTAGCCTCTGCTAGTGCTAATACTTGTCCAGAAGTGGTAATATGCTCCAGAATTGATCTGTTGACTGTTCTATCTTCTCCTTTTGACAATCATGTTGGTAAGTGTTCTTGATATAAGTATAAGACTTATGCACTGTGGCACAGTATAACTCCATTATGGATAAGATTTTATTTTGATAAATCACACAGTGTTACACAGTAATATTAACTGATGACCATCTTCTGGGCACAAACTATTGCCACTCATAATGATAATGATAACATAAATAAGAGAGAATATAAGTCATCTACTGTTATACCATATAAAGAGGGAACATCTGAGGCCCTCCCTACATAGGATTCTTAATAAAGCAGGAATCACAGTGGTGGCATTCAAACCTACAAACTCACTCAGGGACAAGCTCTGTAGGTTAAAGGATCCAGTTGACCCAATTAGACAAAATAATATAATTTAGGAAATACCCTGCAATGACTGTGAGGTCAACTACATAGGTCAAACTAGTAGATCAGATTGTCAGAACATAAGAATTTAGACAAGGTAAGAATGGTTGACCCCGAGAAGATAAGTAATTCAGAAGACATCTCAGCAATTTCATATCATGCATTAACACACAATCACAGTAGGATGGAAGAGGGTTACAATTCTAAAAAATAATCTAGGTAGGTGGAGAGAGAAGTTGATTATTGATTCCTGGTTCATTGAGTCTACACCCAACACATGCGACAGAAATCACTCAATGCAAATACCAGAGATATGGAAGATATTATTACCACTAGTCAGTCAAATCAGAGGAAGATAATAAATAATCTCAAAATTCTATTTCAATTCAAGCACATCACAACATTCTAATAAGTTACTTATTATGACTATAAAAAACACTCGTCTTATTTCCCATCTGATTGTACTTGATCAATAACACTCATATTATTATCTCTGAATGTACATTATCCCATATTGATTTTCATTGCAATATCTAATCATCAATTCTACTCATGTATATAAATGAAAGAAAAAAGTTGTGTGGGTAACTTGATATGATTATGAGCAGTGATAGTTTGTGCTTGTAAGGTGGTCGTCAGTTCATATTACTGTATAACACCACTGTGTGACAATTTATCAAAATAAAATCTTATCCATACTGGTACATGTTCATTGGCTTGTTTAGACAATGTCCTTCTGGTACGCGGCCAATGTGGATCTAGATTTCTCTAGGTAAATAGTATTGTAATATATCCAATTAATAAATAAGTGTGTCATTGCATAATGCCCTAGTTCTACACATATATTAACTGTGCATATCTCTTAATTTATCGACAATTATTATCCCACTATGTATCAACTATATACTATTGATGTATTAAAAAAGTTGGCAGTTTGTTTGTTCATTTTTGCTTCTTCGTTCTATTTTACAGAAGCAATCCGCAACTCATGGACACAAAAACAAGCCTACAATACGTTGAAAGCTCATCCGTATGAATTACGTCCTGAAACGGAATCATTGTACTTGATGCGAATGTTCCGAGCACAAAGAAATTTGTATATTTGTGGATTCTCTCTGTTCACATGGTTGTAAGTTAACATGCTTTGCGTTCGCTTACAATGTCATACAAGTGTTTCGTATATATATATATGTATAATTTGTCTTTGTTAATCTGACTTCACCAAGCGAACATGTGGTTCGGCGTTCAATTTCCGACCGAAGCACGCTTAAACCTCGCTTATTTTTGTTTTCATTGGAATGTAGGGCTTCAGAAGCACATCCCCACTTTGTCCTATTCTCTGCAGTTCTCTCCATCTGTCCCCACGATTGCCCATAGTCCCTGATCTCCTCGCACCACCTCGCCCATGTCAAGCTCAAAGCGACGCCCAACTCGTCGTTCCCTGTTTGAGTTCTCTTCGAGCTATGGCCTAGTGAGCAATGTCACCACTGGACGGTCTCCCCAGTGTGGGTTCTTGGCTGGTTTACTTATTCAGTTGCTCGTTGCTAACTCTGTCTCTTAACCGATAGTAACCCCGACAAAGAAGGAAGTTTGTTCTGGGTGAGCCTGGCAAACCCCCCCCCCCGCCCTGTACCCGACCACGTGAAAATAAAACCACTGCTACTGAAACTTGGAAGCCCAACTCTTGCAGTCCCTTATGTTCCACGCTCGGAACTCATGGGACCTAAGAAAGAAAGTCTTGCCTAACTGATTCATACATTTAATTAATATTGAACTGGTAATGAATTTGTGTTGGTTCCTTTTTTGTGTGTCGAAACAATTTCATAAGATCTGAAGCATTGGATTAAGCACCACCGGACTTTCAGTCAATTAGCCAGCTCAGTTGACTTCGTTTTGATTTAGTTGTATTCTCTGAGCTGGTTGATGGTTTAGTTGCAAAGCTTTCGTTATTAGTAGTATGTATGTACTTTTGTTTTTTATTTAACTAAGTAATTGTCATGAACTTTATTTTATTATTGTTAACCATGCTAGTTGTAAAGTGGTTGTAAAGAAACTACGAAATGACGGTATCATCTCGCGAAATTTGTCTTCTAAAATGCCTTATTCAAATTTATCAAAGGGACTAATTGTTTTCACTATAGTAATGTGTGTTTGTTAATCACCGATTCATCTGACTGTACTAGGCATCTAGAAACTCCCTGACATTACTTATGATGTTTCCTCTGTTTAAAATTTGTTATTATTATATTACTTTATTATTGTTCCCTTGGGTTCCTAGTGGAACATAGGGCTTCAACTGCACTCCTCCACTTGTTTCTGTCTTCTGCTGTACTTTGCACCTGCATCCATGTTAGTCCATACTGTTTCACACGATCTCCTCCATGTCAACCTTGGACGTCCCACTCGCCGCTTCCCTTTCGGGTTCCACTCGAGCGATGGCCTGACGCGCGATGTCACCCAGCGGCCTCCTCAGCGAGTGTCCAATCCATCTCCACTTTCTCCTGCATATTTGTTGAGCGATTGGTTCTTACTTTGTTTGTTCCCATAGTTTCTTGTTGGTTCTTGTTCTTTCCGCCCATCTGATCTTCAGTATAGAACGAAGACAGTTGTTGATAAAGGTCTGCAACAGGCTGTTGGAAATATTCTTTGTGACCTGCGAAGTTTCTGATCCGTATAGAAGAGCTGACTGACTTGACGTTTGTATTGAAAATCCGAATTTTGTTGTTGATGGTGAGTGACGAAGATTTCCAGATTGGTTTCAGGTTGATGAATGTGTTTCTCGCCTTTGACATCTTCGTCCGTTCCTCCTGTAGTTGAGACAATGCTCCCTAGATAAGTGAATGAAGCAACCTCTTTCGAATCCTTTCCGTTGGTGGTGATTGGCGCTGGATGTTGCTGATGCTGTTGTTGTTGTTGGTTGGTTGGTTATTTTCATAACCTTCGTCTTGTCTATGTTCACCTGGAGTCCTGTCTTTGCTGTTTCTTCGACCAGTTTGTCGGTTTTCGCTTGTAAGTCTTCGATTTTGTGTGACATCAAACATAAATCATCCGCGAAATCCAGGTCTTTTAGGCTCTTAACGTTGGTTCCCACTGTCTGACGCATAATCCAGTATAGCACAATCGGGAATATCATTGGTGATAATTGTTGATTTAGATCTCTTTTGATTGTTTTCACTGACTTGAAATTCAAGTTGTCTTGTCATGTAATTTATTATTTTTTTGTTTCGTTTATTGGTAAATTTGATATATAGTAATGTGTGTTTGTTAATCGCTGATTCATCTGAGTGTACTAGGAGGCGTCTAGAAATTCCCTGACAGTGCTTTTGATGTTTCCTGTTTTAAAATTTTTTTACAGTGTCTCAATCAAATTGGTGTCTGTAATTCTTGGGATGCATTGATATAAGAGAATACACATATTAGAATCTTTTCACAGCTGATTTAATGTCTATGGATTCGGAGGCGAATGAGACTCCACGCATTTTGACTGATGCAATGTTGTTTATTGTAGTTCATACAACTTCTTTTGCAAATGGTAGTAATTTAGGCAAAGTTCAACAATAGCGTCCCAGGAGTGCGAACGCACGAGTGACCTTCAGCTGACCAATCATAAAAATGAGGAATGTTTGCTCAAAAAATGAGGTATATTGACAAGAAAATGCTTGAAAACGCATTAAACAGGTCATCTTTCTCTGACACATGGCTTAAAAATACGTCCTAGTTGTAACGAGGAGTATCAGTTTCTAAGTTAAACTGGTTTCTGTACATGTATTCACAGAAGTAACTGAAGATGAGCGCTTTTTTGTGAATCGTTTATCTCTCTCATCCTGCTTGCAGTCTTCCAAAAAAGCCCTCTGTTGAATTACTATGGTTTCCAGTAAGAGGATAGACAACTACTTACCAAGGAAACGTGGTTAATAAAACAAATTAAAATAAATGACATCAACTATAAATCCATCCCTAATCGTAACCATAAGCTTAATCCTGACCCAAACACTAAACCTAACCTTAATCCTAACCCTAATCATAACCCTTATTCAAACCGTAATTCTAACCCTAATGCTAACTATAACCCTGATCCTAACCCTAACCCCAATACTTACCTTAACCCTAATCCTAACCCTAACGAGCTATTAACACATTGTCTAAACAGTACTTAAATGCGTGATCTGGGTGAAATTTGCTCCTAAGTTGGTAAAAATCGTTGATATTTCAGCTATGATAATGACAGATACCGTTAGCCAACGACTAGCATGCTTTCAAGATCATTGTAGCGTTTACACTCCTGGGACGTTATTGTTGAACTTCGCCTTAATTAATTTTATCTTCTTTTTCTGTTGGATCTTTTTGGTTTGCACAATATCAAATGAGTTGATTGTGCTGGCTGGTTTTATATATCTATTTCAAACTGTTGTAATATTGTAGTCGTCATTTCTGAGATATTTTTTATATATCGTAGATTGAATTTTCTAATGTTCCTTGATGATGGTCTTATGACTTGAGTTTAAATACTTTTTGATAAAATTGTGTGTGGGTATTCATTCTTTTTGAAGACGGATTAGTAGGTATTCCTCCCCCGTTCCTTTCAACACTGGAGTAGTGTTCACAGTTCGTGTTTGAACTCTTTTAAACAATGTCTGCACTGTTTCTATTGTGAGCCATTGGCTTATTACTATTATTGTAGTTGAGTATTTGGGGTTGGAGGAGATATCAGCAGGCTACAAGTCATTATCAAATTATCTGCATTATAATGGTAGAAAGTGACGCGGTAGCAGGGTGTGGGTGGGTGGTTGGCGGTGCGGATTATAATAGTCAGAAAAATCTAATAAACAGTGTTGTCAGCTTATTGGGTTACATTAACAAAACAAGAACATAAGATTAAAATTCCCTCCGTCACGAGAAATCACTCATATGCATGATTAGTCCAGAGACTATATAGTCCAACGAAAAATCAAATAACATACTCCATTGTTTCAATCAAAGCAGAGAAACTGCCCTGAACAGGTACTACACCCCAAATGTAGCTCAGCTACACCTGCAAGCACAAAACTTCCTACTACATTCTTTTCATCTACTGCCAATTCGTTGTGATACTCCTCCTCCCGGTCATCCTCCAAACAAAAGACAACAAATCAAGACATTCTTCTTCGTGATGACCTACATCTTTGTCCACCGCAACGAGTGGTCCACATGAATATACACATGTGAGGTGTGACGAATTACACTAGTAGTAGTCAGTGACAGAATCACACAATCAATCACAATCCAATCAATCGTGACAGTACTACTAATTAGCGAGGTGACACACACACAATATGTGTGAATAATATGCGTACAATGTCGAATCAACTAGAATAATATTGGAAAGTTGAAATTTGTCTAATGCTCCTCCTCACAACGCAACGCATTAGCTGACTGACTGACAGTAGGTGGGGTGGTGGTGGTGATATAACCATCCTGGACACAAACATACATTGAATGAATGAATGTAAGCCAAGTACTTGCTAGTGGTGGTGGTGGTGGTGGTGGGTGATATCACGATGATTTAGTCCTCCTCTCCTAAACCACGACCGACGTTGGTTGAACTGGTCTATTCCATATGGTTTATTGAGGGATGCCCCCCCCCCCACACAGACACAGCTAGCTATGCATACATCCTTCTTTTTCTCTTGCATAAAGGAGGAGACACTTTGAATAATAAAAACTATCTCGAATTCCTCAACAATCATCACCCACCATATAGTGGAAACAAACAATTAAAAGCGAGCAAAATATTCACTGTCATCAGGAGGATTTATTTATTTATTTATATTTCACACACATTTATAAGTATAGATTGGGGGGGTTACTATGGAGAGAATTGATGAACTCCATGTTGACTGACTTCTCCAGTCAATGTAGTCGTAGTGGTAGACACTAATTAATGCATGCAGTCAGTCATACTCACACCGCTGGATGGATGATGACAGCTTGAGTATAGTTCAGCCTACCTCGTCTGTTCACGAGTAGTTCCAGGTCTCCACACACACACACACACACATACACTTGTGCATAAGGATTGGTAGTCAGTCAATGAGACAGTCAGATTCTTTAAAATGTGTGTCTTCTTCTGTCTATTCGTCGTCGTGAATC